ACGAGTTTCCATACAAATTTTGACAGTTCATTTATAAGGTTTACACAATTATAAGTTTATACGGTTTACAATGCATTTATAAGGTTTGATGAATACCCTTATTCTTCCAATTCAACGGCCATTTTTTTATGACGTTTGCCAACATTTTAAAATCATATAAAACTGAAAATAAAAAAATGAAATTGTTCACAATTGTTGTTGTTTGAGATTATAAATGAGAATGTGTGTCGGCCGCTGTGGTGTAGTGGTAAGCAGTGCGCGCTTCCACTCCGCAGCACCCGGGTTCAAACCCTAGTCAAAGCAACATCGCAAAAAATATAGAAAAACGTTTTTTTTCTTAAAAGCGGTCGTCCGTCGGGCGGCAATGGCAAACCTCCGAGTGTACGGCGTAAAACTGTAGGTCCCTCCGCTTTGTGTGACAATATCAAGGCGCACGCCACAAGTCGGAGGAGAAGCTCGGCCAAACACTAACATATGTGTAAGCGCCAATCTATTATTACTATTATGTGTGTGGGAGCTTGGGTTCGAATTTTAAAGTTATATTGCTGGCAAACGTCGACTGCCTTTCAATGATTTTACCTTGTAATGTTTTTATCATGCATTTTGCCGACAAAAGCCGACGACACTAATACACTTAAAGCGTTGATAAAGATATTTGATCATCTCCGTGGCGCTTAACATAGCGCTTTTCTAGAGTCGACTAGGCATGGGCAAAAAAAATTGATTAATTCATCACATAATTATTCACAAGTCAAAAAATTCGTTGCAATTTTTGAGAAATAATAGTTTTTTTTGCACCTTTTTCCAGTGAGTCTTCACAAAAACTCTTTTCCATAAAAAATTTCAAATTCTCTTGCTAATTAGCCTTAAATAAAATAAAACGATTGTTTTTATCGGCTATAATTATTTATTATTTAACCAAGTTTGCAAAAACAAGTAAAATTGAATACGTGTGTCTGTATGACATATGTTAAAGACGACGCCATTACGAATGCGTTAACGCATTTGCCGTCGAAAGTTAAGCAACTCGCTACTCTTCTGTTGCGTTCATACGTTGACATTTGAAATTACATTTGTGGATATGCTTAGCAGCTGTTTTTTGATTACAAAACAATGAGCGGCACAACGCAGGGTGTGTAACAGCAAATCTTTTAATGTCGCCAGCGCACAACTGGATCAACGCAAATAAAAGTATGTACCTTCAGCTTTAATCGTAAATNATTATTTCTTTGAAATGAACCAAAAGTAAACTGAATAAATTTGAGAGCGTACTAATTTTAAAAATATCTCCAAACAAGAAGGTTCAAGCTTTGATGGCTCTTAGAAGTTAGAAAAAAATTAGAAAATGTACAAAAAATTTCCCAACAAAATCAACGATGTTGTTTAATAGTTTGACAGCCATATTTTCACTTGAAAGGAAGCGTGCTGGTGGTAACATCGATTAATGTCGCCAGCGCAGAACTGGATCAACGCAAATAAAAGTATGTACCTTCAGCTTTAATCGTAAATTGGATAAAAATAACCGATTAATATACTCAAATAATTAATCGCTGCCAAACCTAGAGTCGACTTTTCCATTCCTATTCTTGAATTTGCTCTAGGAATGTTCGATATTTAAGAAACTATCGATATCATGAATCGATTTAATTCATTGCATGTAAAATCGATATGGCGATATATCGGGCTGAACAATATCGATATCGGAAAAATCTATGTTGAGAATCGATTCATGATATCGATACTTTCTTAAATATCGAACATTCCTACTCCCAATTGAATAGAATATTGGACCTGCCTGTCAACTCACCTAATTGTGTTATTTCTATATAGTATATTTACTGAGGATTAAAACGGCATGCCGGTCTACTCAAGCGGTTTGTCAAACTTAAGAGCAAAATAAATCATACAAGCTGCTGATTAAACATACTTTAGTATGTACCCATACACTTTTTTGTAGATCAAAAATAAATTTCAACTTAAATATCGATATTGCGGGTAAAGTATCGATGTCTTCGATATATCGACCNGTCTATGTTGAAAATCGATTGATAATATCGATACTTTCTTAAATATCAAACATTCCTACTCCCAATTGAATAGAATATTGGACCTGCCTGTCAACTCACCTAATTGTGTTATTTCTATCTAGTATATTTACTGAGGACTAAAACGGCATGCCGGTATACTCAAGCGGTTTGTCAAACTTAAGAGCAAAATAAATCATACAAGCTGGTGATTAAACATACTTTAGTATGTACCCATACACTTTTTTGTAGATCAAAAATAAATTTCAACTTAAATATCGATATTGTGGGTAAAGTATCGATGTCTTCGATATATCGACCTTGGAATATCGATTAAAAAAATCGATTATCGTGCCATGAAGTATCGATATTCAGAATAATCGATACGATATCGAACATTCCTAGTTTGCTCAGTTTCTGATTTTCTGCTCCATTATTTGGTGGCGAAAAAATTTTCCGTGTGAAAAGTTATTGGGGGAGAATTATACAAATCGTACTGAGAATAATTTAGATTTAAATGCAGCAATCAAATTAAAAGAAGATTGTTGAGGTGACGTGACGTTAATTAGCATACACGATTCTACATTCCAATAACAATGTTCAAGTGATGTGCAAGAAACGGTAAAAAAGCAGAGCAAAGAAAGCTTAATTTTATTAGTGAATATTTTTTTTGTAATCAATACGAATATACATAGCCAATCCTGTAAATTAACCCTCAAGTTATATTACAACGAAGTTATCTGGCTGTAGAAATTTTGTGGCAATTTTTGAAGGGGTTCGGCAGCTGCAGTGCTGCAATGAATCAGCACTAGATAACAGCGGAAAAGTAATTAGCAACTATTATAAGTGCAAGTTAAGNAGCAGAGCAAAGAAAGCTTAATTTAGTGAATATTTTTTTTGTAATCAATACGAATATACATAGCCATTCCTGTAAATTAACCGTCAAGTTATATTACAACGAAGTTATCTGGCTGTAGAAATTTTGTGGCAATTTTTGAAGGGGTGCTGCGTTTTATACAGGGTTCGGCAGCTGCAGTGCTGCAATGAATCAGCACTAGATAACAGCGGAAAAGTAATTAGCAACTATTATAAGTGCAAGTTAAGCTATTTTTCTCAACTTAACATCTTTTATTTTATTTTTTTTTTCAAAGTATGTATCTATTTTGGCTCATTGGTGACACTTGTTTGTATGCAGCTTTTCCTTAGAATTCATGAACCATGTCTTTCGTTCAGAATTCTTGTTGATTATTTCCAATTGGTTTTTCCTTGCCTGCTCTATTCTATTCTCTTATGTGTCGTGTCATTTTGTTCTTAATTTTTTGACAATTGACGAACTTTAGTTTAGTTTTTCTTTTCGTGCCTTTTATTAATTGTGCTTCGTTTTGCTTTCTCTTCTGTTTCCATTTGCGCTTAAATTCGTTTAATACTGAAATTAGTCAACAACGCAGAATGGGAATTTAAGACCTTTTACTCGATTTATTCAAACAAAATTTAAGTAAAAGGCGAATTTATACAAGGTGTTGTTAGATCAGCTGATTTCTTTGCCTTAGAAGTAGTTTGTTTTTGCTTTTACTGATTTGACAGCACACCCATCACAAACAAATAAAATGCAAATTTTTGTATCGTGCATATATGTAAAGTCGAATCTATACAAGGTGGTGNTTTTTCTTTTCGTGCCTTTTATTAATTGTGCTTCGTTTTGCTTTCTCCTCTGTTTCCATTTGCGCTTAAATTCGTTTAATAGTGAAATTAGTCAACAACGCAGAATGGGAATTTAAGACCTTTTACTCGATTTATTCAAACAAAATTGAAGTAAAAGGCGAATTTATACAAGGTGTTGTTAGATCAACTGATTTCTTTGCCTTACAAGTAGTTTGTTTTTGCTTTTACTGATTTGACAGCACACCCATCACAAACAAATAAAATGGAAATTTTTGTATCGTGCATATATGTAAAGTCGAATCTATACAAGGTGGTGTTATCGGATCCGCTGATTTCACGGCGAATTTGTACCTTTTGTCAAAATGATGTTATTGTTTTGTAATTTTGCTTTGTACTGATTATCAATGTGCTATAATTTGTTGTAATTTTTGTTTTCGTTCTGGCAACACCACCTTGTATAAATTCGCCTTGCTTTGGGGCGAATTGAGATTTGACAACACCCGTGATAAAAGTAAATGTAGTTGTTTTTTTATTTTTTGCCACCACCTTGTAAAAATTCGCCTTGTTACCAGAGGGGAGAATCTGTAACCAGTTGACAATTTTCGGATCGCTATCGCATAAGTTAACGTATAATACAAGGCGAATTTGTATTGACTGTCAAAATGACGTGTTTGTTGTTGGTGTAGTTCAAGGCGAATTCATACAAGGTTATGTTATGGCGAACTTAGATTTTCGCCGCGGTCATATAAAGAGACTTTCGAAAGAGGTTTTTTATTTCTTAACTGACCCTGCAATCTCTTTTGGAAAGAGCCAATTTNCGGTCATATAAAGAGTCTTTCGAAAGAGGTTTTTTTTATTTCTTAACTGACCCTGCAATCTCTTTTGGAAAGAGCCAATTTACGATGACTTTTCACCCTGCGTTTTTTGCACTTCCCTTTTAAAAAAGTCTTCGAAAGTCCTCGTGTATTTACACCAGCCATGGGCAGAAAGAGCTTTTACTCTGCTTGCGCCTATACAAAATGTATAGAAAGCTTAAACGAGCTTTTCCCGCGGGAAAGGCAGTGCCCATCAGTGATTTACACGATGACTTTTTCTTTGCGGCGTTTCTTGCCAAACAGCTCGACACGCATGACTTTCAACCCAGGCTGAAAAGTCATTGTGTAATTGGCTCGATAGGTCGTGTCAGCTGCCAAAGTTTACGTACCAGCGGGTTTACGTTCTTGACTAATTTGACTAGGAAAATGTCAAAACAAGAAGAAGCAAGGGCAAAAGCAGAATTAACGGCGAAAACGAATGGTAAGCTAAAAAGCAAAACAAAGCAGGGAACGAAAAATCGAAATCAGTCGGGGACGTTCTCTGGTAAATCGTTGATAGATACCAAAGAAGTGGATGTGAGGAAAGAACGTATAATTTTTTCTCCAATAATCTTCATAGAAGAAAAAGTGTTGAAAAATTTCACCTGAAGAAAAATTAACCAAATAGTTATAAGAATAAACCAAAAACTCGCCGCTGTAGCGGGGTAGTATTGGAATTACGTGTAGTGTATTGCAAGTGACAAATAGTGTAGATAGACATGAAAAAATCCAGTTCAAGTTAAAAGTGGGCGCAGTATAAGCGTAATCGCTGGTGTTGTGTGTGCGAAAATTTCTGGACACCGCAGTGTGGTGTCAGAAATTTGATGAAAATTTATCGTGTTTCATAAAAACTATAATCATTATAGGTACATAACACAATTGCATTGAAGAAAGAAAGAAAATACACCAACAAAACTTCCGTATAACCCGTATACCTAGAAGAGCAGTAATCAGTGGCCGCGAGGCAGCCACCACCACTCGAGTCAGGGCAGCAGCAGCCCCAGTAGCACAACCAACAGCAGCAGCAGCAAAATGGAGCAACTAATCCCGATTGTAAATAAGCTGCAAGATGCTTTCACGCAATTGGGCGTGCACATGCAACTTGATTTGCCACAGATTGCCGTCGTAGGCGGACAATCGGCCGGAAAGAGTTCGGTGCTGGAGAACTTCGTTGGCAAGTAAGTGTTTATTAATACGTGATAAGGCATATCCGTTTTTGCATAAATTTTATATGTAAGTACTTTTGTTTTGAATAATCAATGATTTTTGGTGTGCTCCTTGGGTCATGTTAGGTTAATTTTAGCGACATTGTTGGGTGGTTTTCACTAGGATGGCTTTAGGCCAGGAGGCGCTACTGTCAAAATAAATGTCAAAGTAATCACATCGTGCAGACCTACTCAAGACTGAAACTTTGGATGTATAAATGCAGGAAGAGAGCTAGTATAGTCGTGGTACTATGCGCAACCACTTACATACATATGTACATATGTACGCTGCGTGCGTCCACTTTATACATAGCACTTTGTTCAGCTTTGCGTTTATGTTTCCGTTTTTGTTATGCCTCGGTCTTCTCCTTAACTGGCTAAAAGCGAAAACAGTAAATGAATGCGTAAAAGCTGAAGATGTGGAAAAATCAATGTCTTGAAATTTTCATTTGTCGTTTTTGGTCTACACTACTTTATACACATGTATTCCGTATACAAATTTTTATTGCTGCAAATAAAATACTCGGTAACCTTCTCACATTTCCGGCTTCCGTTTCAAATTTTAGTTTGATGCATTTCTGGATCAAAAAGATAATTTTGAAAAAATNCATACAAATTTTTATTGCTGCAAATAAAATACTCGGTAACCTTCTCACATTTTCAGCGCATTTCCGGCTTCCGTTTTAAATTTTAGTTTGATGCATTTCTGGATCAAAAAGATAATTTTGAAAAAATTTCGCTTCCGTTTTTAGGCGGTACGGCTCGATATTTGGGCTATTTATGTATGTTTTATTTAATTTTTTAGTTAGTTGCTTTATCCTATTTTTATTTTATTTCAATTAATGTACAAACATACATANACTATTTAATTTTTTAGTTATTTGCTTTATCCTATTTTTATTTTATTTCAATTAATGTACAAACATACATACATATGTACACTGCCGGAACAAAGTATTGGCACAGCAAATTTTTCACAGTATATGCAACAATTTTTATTATAACATTTTTCCACCAATTTTGTATAAAAATATGGTTCATTCAACAACAAAAAACATAAAAATATAATTCCTAAACTTTGTGCAAAACTCGCGAAAATTCAGCAAATTTTCATCAAAATTTTCAAATTTTTAATCAGATTTTTTAGATTTTTTTGGCTATGTAGGGCTCGAACCGTCACATACGTTATCGTACTACTCGTCACAACACATTTTTCGGATTATGGCATACGTGAACGTACTCTGTGTCCCATTCAGCTTATAGTGCCTGACGTATCACGTAATTTTCTTTCGTATCGTTTTCGACCAGTGAACGGATGTTACGATTCGAGCCCAGTTTTGCAGCCCTTTAAATTCTAGTAAAAAAATGCAAGTTCGGAGTTAGTCAAAAATGGTGTTTTACATTTTTTCCATATAAAGTATTTTCGAAAAAAATTTTTGACTGAAAAAAATTGCCAAAAATCAACAGTAAGCTACTTAAAACTTGCACTTTATTATAATAAAATTGATTGGGCTACAAATCTGCATACTCAAAAAATTTCTAAAAAATCTGATTAAAAAGTTGAAAATTTTCATGAAAATTTGCTGAATTTTCGCGAGTTTTGCACAAAGTTTAGGAATTATATTTTTATGTTTTTT